TTATTAGTAGGCAGTATTAGCCTATGTTTTTATTGTTTCTGAAAATTGCAAATGTTCTCTCTGTAGGAGCAGACGTTACTATAGAGCTTAGCTTCAGAAAGATGATTCAAATGTAATAGAATTTGTTTCTAAAGTATGAAAAATATATCCTAACATTTCTCACAACTAGCTGCTGAAACACAACTAAATTTGGTTAAAAATACTTATACAATTATTATTATTTTTACTGAAGAGCTGTGAAAATATTTTATTTTTTATATGCCAAAATGCTGGCACCAGTAATTTCTCAATTAAAAAATGAATTGTCACTCTGTACTTAGTGTCCTCTATTATCAGGAAGAGCCTGCGTGACTGAATTGAAACTGTTTTCCAGCAACAAAGTTAATTTCGAAAACATTCTTCAATTGTTAAATATACTGTATAGAACACATTAGAAATTAAGAGTGTTCTAGGCACATCATTACCAAGCTAGTTAACAGCTTATTACAATGATAGTCATTCTGTAAAACAATAAGAGATGTAGCTTCTAAAGCCATAGATATTTGCTCTTTTGATATTTCAGGATGTGTTTGTTAGAATAAAAAGGCTTCCCTTACCAAGGGGAACCTTCCCTTAACAAGTGGGGTAGCCATAACTAGCAAAGGAAGATGTTTGAAAAATATTAGAATTAACCCACGATTAATAGATGCCCCTAAATAAAGTAAGACTGCACACGGAGACTTACGTGTTCTTTATCCTCAAGCATTTCCTATCACATTAGAGGATATGAAAACACAGTTGCCTTGTATTCCTAACTCCGAATCTGTGTTCCTTCCTCCTTCTATTCCTTGCAGCTCTATATCGCATCGGTGCAAAAAGTAGCATTATGGACTAGTGGAAAGAATGCATCTGAAGGACTGTGGAGAGCAGCATCCTCTTTTTTCCAGAGGGGTGTAACTAAACTTTCATATGTTACTGCTCTTCAGTTCAGGATTAGGGCATGTAGTGTGAATTTTTAACAAAGGACGATAGTGTCCCGGAGACTGCCAGTACCTACAAATGCTTGTGCGCTGGCAGTACCATAGGTATGTAACTGTTGAAAGGGTTTCAGTATCAAGACTGGTACTTGTCTCTGGTCTTGCATTTAATTACAATCAGAATTGGAATTCCTTATATTCCATAACATGTATTTCCCTATTTATCTATCTATCTGCAGAAACAGCCAAGGTACTTGAATTTGTAGTTTAGATAATCTATAATTAATTGTATTAACAGGATGTTAATATTTGGAGGATTTTGAAAAGTAGGATGGTTGTTCTGAACAGTAAGCTAGATAAGTTGTCTACAAAGCTGTAAGCACAGTGGTGGTTTATTCACGTGAGAATAATGCTAGCAGTACATTGCAGCACAGTGCAATAATATTTTATTTTCTTTCAAACAAACTGCAGTTCAAATTTATTTGCAGATGTATACAGCTGTGCAAGGAAGGAGAAATTAAGTCCATGTAGGCTCTAAAGCTAGTGATGGATGAAGAGGAGAAGCAGGGAAAAGAGAAAAGATACATGGGGTTTGTTCTTGTGAATGCCAAAACTTTTCCAAAACAGGAAAGAAGTTCCATGGAGTAAACTGATAAGGTTAAAGTGTCTTCAGAATGGCAAGTAATATGATCATGATTTATTAATGTGAGAAGTTACAAAATAATGAAAGGATTAGCAAACAACAAACCTGTACACCATGTTTCTAAGAGGCCTGAAGTTCTGTCATATCCTACCTGCCTGTAGAAATAGTGGACAGCATGAGCAAAGGGAAGGACTTATTGCTGAGAGGTCAGATATTTCTGTGCTGATATTGTACAACCATCCATATTCACACCTTTAGATCTTTGAGACTTACCAGCTTTGCAGACCAAAACCTCATTTTTCACTTCTCTGCAATTTGCTGGGTACATTCACAGAGGATTTCATCCAAGCATATCACTTGCTATTGCAGCCTGTCAAAGGTGTAAAGGGAGGAAAGTTTGTCAGATGTCATATGGGATGTCTAGTAGATTTATGTTGTTGTTGTGTTGTTCTTTTTTCTTCTTAACATCCCCACTCACTGTATTGTAAAGTTTCTCAAAGAAAATGCAGTCTAATTTCTTGTCTTAGTCAAGTGCTAATTTGAGAAATCAGGAAAGAATTACAAAATTATTCTCAGGAGGCCAAAGGATTCAGGATCATGATGGCAATAATTTCATTTAAATGTTTCAGAGAGAAAACCTCTAATTTATTGTTCCATATATTGTCTTAGCCTTTTTCAGTAATCTACTCTATCACATAACATCTTTTGAAGTGCAGGGATTATGACAATTAGCTTAATGTTACCAGCTGATTGTCACAGTGAGCTGATAGTCAGCAATTTAAATTCTATTCCCCACGTATTTTGCTTCTTAGATGCGTTATCCATATCACATTGTAATCTTTGTTTCTCTGTTTTGGTGTTGAATGAAATTGGCACGATTAGCCATAGAAATCTCACAGGGTTAGTAAGATTTTAATCTTACTGGAAAGGAGTGCTTTTTCAAAAATTTCTACTTCCTCTTTGTTTTCTGTGGCTGAATTGATATACATGGATTCTAGCAAAAAAGCTTCTGAAGAAAGAAAGAATCCTGTAACTCAGAAAGGGAAGTAGTATTCCTTTCAGAGGAAGGAACCAGACTGAGATTAAGAGATGAGGATGAGTGTTTTTCTTAAACTAAGTAACTTCCATTTTGTATCTCAAGGTACCATTTTAATTGAGCAAACAAGAGGAACCCAGGAATGAATGGGCTGTGCTGGTCCAAAATTGAAAACAAATTATTGAGAAAAAAATTAGTCTCTTGCTGCAGGACTCAGCCCGCTTGCCCCAGTAAGTCTCAACTTAGGACAGATGCTACGGACAATTTGATTCTACTTGGGAAAGCAAGAATTCAGTCATGCTACATTTCTGCTTTTATTTTTTTAGTCCAATGAAAATGCCATTTGCCATAGCTGAACAGCTCATCCCATCTATAAAACCACAAAAAACCTTTCCTCCAAATTCAGTGCTCCTCTGAAAGCTTCTGCCAGTGCATAACCTCTTGATTCCACGATTCTTAAGTTAAGGTGCAAAAACTCCATTAGGTATATTAGAGTAGACTGAGAATATGTTTTACAATATAGGAATAATTTTGTTACCATAAATAATTGTCCTGTCTTTATTCAAGTTTTATACCAAAGTCTGCTTTATGTTTCATGTTTTGTTCTGGTGAACCATTTATAGTATCAGTTGAATATTTGTGTTACGTGGCGGTAAATGTGAACCGATAATGATGGAAATTCTTTGTTACACAGGACTGTGAAGAAAATGTACAAAACCAGCCATCATTTCAATACAGCTATTATATTCAGATTTGCCATGAGCGTATATGCCCTTCACTGTCAGTTCCCGTTTCTTGTTTTGGAGATTTCTTTTGCATTTGTGAAGTCTGAGTATGCAGTATAAATTGTGATAGGTCCTGACAGATGAGCTTGCTTTCTATCATCTAGTGGTACCAATATGCTAGCTCTTGGTAGTCCCTAAAGCCTGTTAAGCTCAGCGGCACTTCTAGATAATTTTTGCAATGAGTTCAAGTGAAATCTGTCTTGCAACACTGCAGAATCCTAGCAGCGTTGGAACTGGACCATCATTAGTCTTGTTTTCTACCATCAAGAAGGTTTCTATGTCCAAACCCAAACTTTTCCACTTTCTGCTAAGTATTACAAGCTCAAAACTGTGTCAGATTCATGAGGCTACAGAGTACAAGTGCAAACAAGGAGCTGAACTCTGTATCCCAATAAAGGAAAGTATAAGAGTAGCCCCTGCATGTATTCCTGTTTATACATTTTATTAAGTGATCGAATCCAATATTTATAAGCCAGAATTTGGCCATAGAGGTAAAGCTCCTTTGGCTTGTGTGTGTGTGCTCTCTCACCCTCTGACCTCATGACTCTAGCATTTCTTTCTGTACAGTGGCCCAACTCCAGTGGGAAAGCTGAAAAGCATCCCCATCCTCCTGGTTTTGCCCATTCTTGATGGGAAGTGGGGGAAGAGAGTTTATGTCCCTCAGGCTGGCGAGCAGCATGAAGGCAAGTTTCCCATTTCCTGGGCATGTGTGCACATTTAAGCTATGTACCAGAGGCAGCATTCATCATAACCAGCTTTTTTTTAAAGTGACCCAGAATCAATACTGTACATGGGGTTTAGGAATGCTTTAAGCATATATATTGGATTGGACCCCTCGGGGAATTTAGATATGTGAATAAGTAGTTTATGAATCTCTTAATGACCTTAAGTTAAGGAGAATTCCTGACCTGATTGGTTAAAACAAGTCATAGGCATCTGTAGGGAAGGAAGTAGCTAAAATTTAGACGCTCTGGAAAGCTTTCTGAACAAAATGTAGGTACTGTGGCATTACAGGTACTAGTGTATTCAGTTAGGTAGATAAGATTTTTATGAATTGTTTTGTTAACTAAGTACCTAAGTTCTGCCTAAATTGAAATTTAAGTCCGTTCCTGAATGCAGACCTCAGTGCTTTAATTTTAGTCTGTAAAACTGTTCTTTGTCTTCTGTACTTGTCTAAACAGTATTGTTGTGTATTTGTTAAAGCTTTTATGTTTATATAAATCTTACTAGGTTTTTCTTCTAAATATATTACAAATAATGTAAAGTAGTAAAAAGTTTACCTCTTTAGGCTGTATCTCTTTTTCAGGAGGTTTCTTGGTAATTGCAACTTTTTCCCATTACGGTTATGTTTGTTTTTACCTGTTACACATTTCTGTCTTGGGATGATTGAGTATTTTATTTTCTAATTATCTAGATGTAATTTGTGAAACTAGGTATTCTTTGAGCATCGTGATTCATAGGAATCATTATATAACATATCTTGAAGACATGGAATCAGAAATGCAATTTAAAAAATGTTATCTAGATAACATAATATTCCTGCATTTCTCACCTTTTCCTTCTCTAATTTTCCAATGCAGATTACAATACCCAGACCTTCAGTGGCATCCACGCAGTCTGCTTCTGAGAGCTTTCACTATGGCCACCAGCTAGAGAAAAGAGATCGGGATGCTCAGTCTGTGGAACACACTGTGGAACTTTCCTCTCCAAAGGAAAATTTGCCAGGTTTGGTTGTGACAGAAGATGCACTTCCAACTAGTGCTAGCAGACCAGACTTGGTACTTCATATCAGCCAAGAGGTGCTTGAAAGGGACGGACATGTCAAAGAATGTGTCAAGCTCCTGGACTGTGGCCAAAAGGACCTACCTGAACCACATAGCAGGACACAGGAAGAGAAAGAACTTGAAAATCTTCCTGTAGAATCTGAGGAAGAAAGGCTTCCAGTGGTTTCTGAGGGTGCCAATGAAATGCTAAGCAAAGAACAAAATTCTTCTTTGCCAGGAAACTCAAAATCTGTGGAGGAAGGAGCTCTAGCTAATACTGAAGCTGCTGAAGAATCAAAGCCAAGGCCCCTCTGCTTGGTGCCAAATCAAGATGAGCTTCTGAAGTCAATAGCACCTGAAACCCTAGAAGTTTCTCCCTCAAGACTTATCAACTCATATGCTAAGAGACAGGCAAGCAAAAAGGCACCAGTTCAGGAGAACGGTTTTCATGCTAATAAGGAAGAAGTCCATATCCAAGACTTTCAATGCCACCAGGTGACCCTTACTACTTTTTTGCACCAGGAGGACAAAAAAGAGAAAAATGCTCCCAGAAATGGAGAGTTATTCCACTGCATTTCAGGGAATGAGAATTCTCATCGATCTAAAAAGGACTTAGTTAAATCTCCTTTTGTGTTCAGGCAGAGCCGAATCCCAGTTTTAGCACAAGAGATTGACTCAACATCAGAGTCCTCTTCTCCTGTTTCAGCAAAGGAAAAGCTTCTTCTAAAAAAGGCCCACCAGACAGACTTGGTTAGACTGCTTGTGGAAAAGAGACAGCTCAAATCTTTCCTTGGTGACCTCTCAAGTGCCTCTGACAAGTCACTGGAGGAAAAAATGGCTGCTGCTCCAGTACCATTTTCTGAGGATGATGTCTTATCCTCGTTTTCTAGGTTAACTCTGGACTCTCGTTTCAGCAAGCAGACAGAAGATAGTTCTTTATCTCCAAGCAGCCCTCAGTCCAGAAAGAGCAAGATTCCAAGGCCAGTATCCTGGGCTACTGCTGATCAAGTCACCAGTTCAAGTTCAGCTCAGTTCTTTCCTCGGCCCCCACCAGGAAAACCGCCCACGAGGCCGGGGGTAGAAGCTAGGTAATAAAGATAAAATAATAGGTATTCAGTTTTGAAAATGGATTTCAGCTAGACTGCAGTAAAGATGCAGTAGATAATCCTGTAGTTGTTCCATCCTTTGTAAACAAATTTTAAAAAATGCTGACCTTGAATTCTCTAATAAATCTTACTCTGGGGATGAGTGAGGAGAGGCTGTTCCAGAAGAATGTGCCTGTTTCAATACTAAACTTTATCAAAAAGTCACTTTATTTAAACTTTAAAAAGTGGGGCCATAGTCACAAACCAAATAGAAATCAATAGGATCTGTCATATCCAGCCCCTTTGAAAATTAAACTATTCTTATTTTAGAAATTTTAAGTATTTGGGTTTGGGTATTTCAGCCATCAGTATGTGATTAGGTTAATTATGTGAACATCATGGCTAAGTAAAAACAGCTAATTGCTGGAGGGCAGAGGGAACACTAGAAGCCCTCCTTTACCAGTTCTGTATATAGACAACCATGATCTAGTTTCTTCAGTGCCTTGATTATCAGGAAAAGGAGAGTTTTGATATAATCAGTAGTGCAAAATCTTCTGAAGGAAGTTGTGGTGGGCCTTGTCGTCCTTTAATTGTGTATACAACGTACAAATGGTGTACAGGAATGGTTGTACCCCTCCAAAGAAGAGGTGATAAGCATTGCCCTGCAGTGTATTCATTCCAGTACCACCAGGAAAATTTAGTTTTCTTGTGAACGCTTGGACTGTTTCTGTGACTGTGAGTTAATGCAAATAGAAATACTGTGTTGGTGTGAACTACACACAGGTCAAAACCTAAATCAAACACCTCGGTCTGGTAGGAAAGTTCAGATCCAGATGTCTGATACTGTGTTTCTATATGAACTTCTATGAATAGGTGGGGACAGAAATAATCTTTCTTCATTTCTTCTTAAGGTTACGCAGATACAGAGTCCTAGGGAGTAGCAGCTCGGACTCGGATCTTATCTCGCGTCTGGCTCAAATCCTACAGAACGGATCTCAAAGACCGAGGAGTTCTACTCAGTGTAAGAGTCCAGGATCCCCACATAGTCCAAAAACGCCACCCAAAAGCCCTGTCATTCCCCGACGCAGTCCCAGTGCCTCCCCTAGGAGCTCTTCCTTACCCCGTACTGCCAGTTCTTCTCCGTCCCGGCCTGGGAGGCCCCATCATGATCAGAGGAGTTCGTCCCCGCATCTTGGGAGGAGTAAGTCACCCCCTAGCCATTCAGGCTCCTCATCTTCTAGGAGATCCTGCCAACAAGAGCATTGCTGCAGCAAACCAAGCAAGAACGGTCTGAAAGGGTCTGGCAGTTCCTTCCACCATTCCCCAAACACTAAAACTCCCCCAGGAAAGAGCAAATCAGCCAGTAAGCTTAGCAGATAGGAACTGGGCCTTGACAGTTGTAAAGCCTCCTCCTAAATCCAATGCATGTTGTGTCTGTGTACTGTGTATTTAAAAAAAAAAAAAGTTTAAAAAAAAAAAAAGTGTTAAATCTGCACTTTCGAAAGAAAGTAAACATCATAAACTATTCATGACAACGCATACTGTGTAAATGAGTGGCCAGGCATTGCCGAAGAACAGGCAGCAAGCAGATCAGGAGAGGTGAGGTAGAGGCGAGGGAAAGAACGGCTAGTTAGTTGAAGAGGTGCAATGTATTTAAAGTTAAAGTATTTCTAAGGTGAGTGTTTTAAAAGGGTATTTATTTCTATGTTTTTAGTTTGCCTAGCTAGCGGCTTTGGCCTAATTATTTAAGGCCTGTCTCAAGGAGTTTGTAAGAAAACCTGAAACCATTATTCCCAAAATGACACCACCTTTGGGGAGATAAGTTTCGCTCAGGCAAGTATTTGTAGTTTTAAATAAGCACATGACTTGGAAGGTGATGGTATTTCTACCGTAAGAGTCTCTTCCATTTTGAGCTGCACACATCTCTCTGAGTCGCTCAGTGCTTGTCTGGCCCCATATCTGCCATGGCACAGATTTCCTTACATAAAGAAGTATCATATACCTTGTCCCTTCTTGAGACTGATGACTTTTTAAAATGAGTATTAACACGTCAAGGTGTTTTTATAGTGATACTCTGTAGAACATTTCTTTAGTATTAATTAGGATCCAAGAAGCTAATTCTTAGTTCCAGCTCTCGTATTTCTTTGGGAGTCATAGTGAGGTTTTTCAACCAGTATGCCTGCACTCCACAGGATGTTGCAGATCTAAAATAAATTGCAATTTATTAGAACAGAAGTTAGAAACAGGAAAGAGAAGTATCTGTTTTCCCCTCACCCAATTGCAAAAAGATCCCTTGTTACTACTGGCTATGGTTATTCCATTAGTTATGGACCACTTAAGCCATTGACCTTACTCATAATGTCAATATCTTGCTATTAAATCCAAGCTAACAAGCTAAAGAGAGCAAAGACAATTACCAACCTAGTTTTGCTTTGCATTCGTTTATATACACATGAAAGATGAAGCATGCCTGTATTCTCAGAGATATGGTGGATGTCGAAATTGTGAATTCGGTAGGTTGTGAGTAACAAAAATATATTCAAACTCGTAACAGAATCTGGGTAAGAATATTAGTGATTAGAGTAAAATATCCAGAAAGCAAGTCTGAAATATTTTTTGCTGTTGGATGCTTGTCATTCTTCTGCCCAAATGATTCTTTGATAGCCGAGCTGCATTGTCTCTCGGTAAAGTACATGGTGTCTAATTTTTCCAACTTTTTTTAGTAGTTGCTTAATAAACTCTTGTGCTGTACAGGATCTCTGTAGGGAACCCTTTAGCTATAGCACCCTTTGCTACATTCAGAAGAGAACAGTGGGTCAGAATAGTAACACACAAGAACGCAAGCCTTAAGATACAGCCAGCTCTCCCTAATTGTACCTGTACTGGGGAGGCTGCTTGTGTAGGAGCCCTGTCAGTTACTGATCTGCTTGCTGTAGTCATATGCCTCTCCAGCCAGCATCTGCGCTTTTTTAATTTAACCTCTGCCAAATGAATACCTTTGAATTGAAAAGGGAATATTTTGTCTCTGAGCAAACACATTTTAATGCTGCATTAAAGCTGCCCTCGAGCTGCACTGAATTTCACTTGCTCTGTCAGACTATGTTGATTTTTTTTTCTTACTATTAATATGTACAGTGCTCCCCATATGTAATGTAGCACAGTGTGGAACCTTAATTTCATTCAGGTTTCGAGCACTACAGAGGAATGCAATAGGTAGGGTGTACCTGCTTTTTCTGAAGAAAATGTACCATTGGAAAGTCCTATTCCTTTGTATTATATTGTATAATAGGTGCTATACTGATAATTGCATGTCCTCATGGTAAATGATATAATATAAATATTTATAAATATATATATACATATGCTTATATAAACTCACTCTTTCTCATTTTTCATTTGTAACTTAGGGACCATAAATGACACCATTCCCTTTCTGTTAGTTCCTAAATACTCTTGGCATTGCATCTCCTGTTTCTTTTTTTTTTTTTTTTTCTTTTAAACCTGGAACGCACAAAGTCCAATAGCCTGCTACAAGGCTTGGTCCAAGATGGAAGGACTGCTGATTTCCTGATTTCTCATCAAGCCAGTGTTTTATCTCGCAGCTTTCTTTCTTTCTTTAAAATTTTGTGTATTTGCATATGAGCAAGAACAGAGACTCAAAGGTATTTTTATTTTTGATTACAAATAGGATTTATGATTATTCATTTTTATTTCATAAAGTGAATTTTAATTGTTATGAATGCTCGTGATATGGGAACAATGACAGTCAATGAATTGCCTAATAGACGAATGTAACAACAACAAATTCCATCCTTTCCTTCCTGTCTTCCTCATATGTTTCCTTATAGTATACAGAAAAGGAGAATTGAAACTCATTGTGATATTTCTGCCCTGGGTACTGCTGAAATTATTTGCTGATTCTGTTTCTTCCCTTCTCCCTCATTTCTGAGGAGCATTTGTTATGGTCCTATGAGCGCATTCCTACATTAACATGGTCAGCTTTAGTGGGTACCAACTTTATGCATCTTCCCCTGAAATGCTGAAACTGAGGTGTTTATATTTTCTCCCCAGGACCAGGATCCAAAAACAGGTAATTTTGCTACTGTAAGAATAATTTGCTTTACAGCTGAGAAAGAATACAACATCTAAGCATTTTTTCATAATCTCACCAAAAATGCTGACTTGTGCATTGTTGCATATAACTACATAAAATATATCAGTGTTGTAGAAATTCACTTGTACTTGAACTACTTGCCAATGTAAAGTATTAGACTATGCCCAAATGGAGAGAGATACGAATCATGATTGATAACCAACCTTTTCTCAGTGCAATGAAAAGTGAAAGGACAGTATATCCTCTGTTGCTTTTTGCTCTGGATTTGGGTGATGGATATAGATTCAACACGATCTAGTGAGAAAATCACGAAGATATGAATAGAGGAGTGGTTGTGAATAATTTGTCTTGAACTACTCCTTTCCCTAAAGCTTTTTGTAGCTTGTTACTCCCCTTAAAGTTTAAAAATTGCTTACTATAGACTAGTATAGCAATCAGTTAATGCAGTTAGATAATGGTCAGCTGATATCATGCATATCATTATCACCTTAATAATATTCCTGGGGGGCTGTATGATCATCAAGATCTCTTAAGTTTCAGCATTTTGAATATACAACTTATTATGCATTTAAAAACACCAGTATACACGGGCATGGCCCGTGTGCCAAGTGTGCATGCATGGTTTATGGAGGACATCTACAGCAAAATTTCACAGTCAGGGAAATTTTTTTTTCTTCTCCAGTGTATAGAACAGTAGTAGTTGTTCTGCATAGCCTGCAGTGACTTACCCTGGGATTTTAGCCAGGGAGGCAATGTAATTCGGGGAGATGCTACTTTCGCCTTTCCAAGCCTGCTGGCCATTTCTTTGGAGTGCAGTGCAATGAAGCCATGACATGTGGTGGATGCAGGTGCTTCTTGCACGTTTTTTATCTTTGACTTTCAAACTGTGATATTTCAATTACTTTTGGAGGTCTTTTTTTAACCACATTAGGGATTTTGGCGGTGAAACCTCTTTGCTCGTCAATAGCTAGCACTTTGGAGCATTTTTAAGGAACTTTGGGTATGGATGCTTTGAAATAAAATAGAAGCTAAAAACGTTTGACATTTCACAGACTTTTGTGCTACAATTGCATGATATCATGAATTTAGGTTACATTCTCAAAAGTCTGTATTAATATTAATACACTTCATTATTAATGCCAAATGCCAATTACCGCTTAAGTTAAACCCTGTTAAAATAACAGAAGGTGTCATATATAGCAGGATGGCAACACTGGCGAGTAGTACGATGCTAGGCACTTATTTACCGCTTGCACAGGATGGCAGGAACAATATGGGGTCTTCGCTACTAGTATATATAATTATTCAGGAGGGGAATCTACTGAGGGAGACCTTGGGCACTCCTTGTGCCCAATGACCCACATCCTCCCTTGGGAAAGGCCAGAACCTTGCTTTGAAGTTTGCATGCCTGAGATCAAGCTTTCTATCATACCTCACGAAACAGTCTTGATATAGAGGGGAGGATCTGGTCCTGTATATTTAAAAGTAGGTTGAAAGATTTTTTCATCTGAAAAGACCTGCAAGAGATGTATGCTTTATATTTTGTAGTTACTATGATGCTAACTCTAGCTGGGGAGGCACACAGTTTCGATCGTATATATGTGTTTGTACATATGTGTGTGTGTGTGTGTATGCACACGTTATATAGGTACTCTATACTATATAGAAACATATGTATATATATATTTATACACATATAAAATTATAGAAACAAACAGTGCCAGGTATTGCATCCTCTTTGCTGGAATTCATTTGCCAGAGCTCACTGAGGCCTACTGTGCTTTGACTTAGTCTGAACTAGCAGAATTTTGCTACGCCTTAATTCTGATTCTGTCTCTCTTCCATATTACAAGGCCTGATCCTACAGTCCTACTTAGGCAAAACCCCTATAGCCCTTCTTATTGCTGTAATATTTATGCAATGGTTGACTGTAATGCTCCTATAAACTTTTTTCTTTTTCTCTTAGACAAGAATGTAGACAATGCCAGACTTACACTACAGACTCTTTCCTGTAAACATGATTTTTTCCATAATGAATTAGACATTTTTCCAGAACACTAAGGCATAAATTCTGATAATAAGACTGAAGAACTGCCAGAAGGTGATTATTTCAATTTCTTGAAAGGTTCTAATGGCAAACTAGAGATAACATGCCTCCAATTTTTAAATGAGATAGGAATTGAATCTTCCAAGAATAGGCAAATGAAAGAGAACTCAAACTCCCTTTGGTTTCTCATCATAGCAATATAAAATATTGATCTTAAGTTTTTTTTCATACAGGACTGATCCTGTGAGATGGTGAGTGCCACATGGGCCCATCTTGTCAATTCTGATGAGCCAAGGGGGTTCTCGATCTTTTGCAGGATTGAGATCTTAGATAAACACGGTGATTCCATCTGGCATATTCTCTGTATGTTTTTCTACTACAAAGTATGGTCAGAGAACTGACAGCTATATAAATAAACGCCTTGATAATTATCCATGACTCCTTTCTTTAACTGTTAAGAGCTTTGGATGCTCTACTACTACTACTACTATTTCTGGAACTTGTGGAATAGTGCTTAATCTTTTATTCTACTTCTTTCGCTAATCAAGTAGCAGTGAACTAAAGTTTTTTGTTTGCTTTTGGCTCAAATGTATATTGCCTACCATTTTCAGTAACAAGTAACTGTGGTAAAACGGAGTGAGGGTCAGCGTTTTGGCTACGTGCAATATGTGGGCACGGGTCACACAGGTCTTAGCTAATACATGTGAATCACGTAAACGCATACACCTCACAAGAATACCTCACCACTCCACTTGAAACCAGTCTTCCTTTCCCCTGCGCATAACATTTGTAAAAGAGAAATGATATAAAAATTAAACTGGATTGTGTAATAACTTCCTGGATTTATCTTAAGATACTGTCAGAAGAGTTTATTTAATCACAGTAACAGCAAGCCTCATTTTTCTGTGGTTTAAATAATCAGGCTTTTTAATATTAACTTCTGAGATCTTTTTAAAGGAAAAATTGAATAGGAATGTACTGTTTTAAAGTCTACATGTATTAACTTAGCAGTTGCTGTAGCCATCCAAGCTTGAATGTGCAGACTGATTTTTTTCTCTCCGTTGTTTAGTAATGAAACCTCTCTTAACAGTAACAGTGACAAAACCTCTAGTACTTTATACTTTTCCAGAATAATAGATGCTGGTTTTCACTAGTTACTGACTTTCCAAACTGCTTGGCATTTATGTGGGACAGCTACAAGAGTGACATATTTTCCTTTCTGAGAGAGTTCATCCATGTTAATTCAGAAATAACCATGTGACCGATACAACAAATTTAGCAAAGAGAAAATTCTGAACCGCAAGTGCGATTGGGCACTGGAACTGGAACTGAAGGGTATCTAAAGCTTTGGCAGGACAACAGGACGTATATTGGGTACTTGGCTGACCGATGGTCTTAATTCTTGTAGCTGAGATAGAGAAATGGTCTAAAGAGAACAGTGCAGAGCAGGAATTTAATCTGAGTGCTCTGAAACGACCTCGGAGTAGCCTATTGTTCTTTAGTGAGCACAGTGGAAGTCCCACTGACCCACTAATTTAGGTGCCAAAAGTTAGGGTGAGCGTCTCTCTGTTTTTGTTCAGGATATGTCAAAATTCTCATTAGTGTAGTGCAACATTTGAAGTTGTGTAGAAATACAAATTTTTACATACAAATAGTTACATGTGGATTTGAGGTTTTTGCTTTGGAGTGCACAGTCCGTGGTTTCTTCTAAAGCAATACCTCAGGTAGGCTACTCAGATGAGTTGCTGATCGTCCATGGCTCTCCACAGGAATTCAGCAGGGCTTCATTTGAGTTACAGATGTTTGTTTCCTTTCTGAGATCACTGCATCTTTGACCTAACTCTTATATGAAGGAGGCTAAATTAGCAGCAGAGCAGCTTGTACCGCTCTCCAAAAGATGCAATATGATTAGCTTGGTCTGCTTGCCTTCATATTCTATTATACTCTTTTAAGCCACACCTACTGCATGGCAGGCAAGGTTGTAAAGGTCTGACACTAGGCAAATGTCTCTTATTTTATTTTATTTTGCTAATTTCAGCTTATTTCACGTCGTCTTTCTTTCTTTCTTTTTCTTTTTCTTTCTTTCTTTCTTTCTTTCTTTCTTTCTTTCTTTGAGTGGAGTGCTGGACTGGTTGCCTAGCAGCCCTTCTCTGCATCCTCTTTACCTTCCTTGGCTAGAAAGTGAAGTTTGAAATTCTTCCCAGTTTCTGACTTTTTATTTTTACAGAATCAGCCCAGAGGCAAGCTGCAGTGCTTGTGCTAACAGATGTTGATTTTCAAATGCTTTCCTATGAATATCCAAACCAACAAATTAATGAGATCACCAGCAATGCCTTCAGACAAGTAATGAATTTTTGAAGCTGTGAACCAATGTTTGCTAATCTAAAATCTCTGGGCAATACCACAAAGAAGAAATCTGTATATTGACTAAAAATAGTTCCATTGTTCCATAAGAAATTAAGTACTCAAGAATAAAATCTGTGGCATGATTAAATTAAGTGGAAGGCTATTCCCAGAGGTTTTTTTGTTGCCATTGAGGAAGACAAATGTTGAATCCTTCAAATTCTCTTGCTCAGTAATTGCAATTCCCTTCCCCTTCCTTGGAAATCTTCTAAGCCATTCTTTTTCTTTCAGTTTGCTCAGGCACCCAAGAACATGAAGAGTTAATGCCCTTGTAATGGTCATTTGTACATAAAGGTGTAATTATTTATTTTCCCATTTGTACCATATCAAGGCTTTGTACAATGTTTTAAGTTCTGTTTTCAAATTATTTTGTATTTATTTTTATAAACCGGTTCTAAATAAAATATTCATTCAGCATGCAAAACTCCAGTCTTTTACTGTGTTTGTATGATGATTTTACTATTTATAAAGCATCAATCAAATTGGTTTTCCAATAGCATATTTTTTATTATCTTAACCCTCTACTTTAAATGGAGAGATAAAGCATTGGTGGTGGGATTGGTTTTATTTTTTCTGTTACAAGAAAGTGAAAAGTAAGTTTATTTTGGTACTAGTGCAACAAGAGTCAGATATTTCATATTGCAAACTAGAATGATTGGACCAACAGAAGTCTTACTGATTTAGTAGGCTGATGTGTGGTATAATAGTAAGATTAGAAAAAAGCCCAACCCTCGTCCCCAACCCCACCTCCCTTTCCACATGCTCTTGTTCTTATCCCCACTCTCTGTATTCAGCCAAGCAATAAATGATTGTTGGCCAGATCAGGATCTGCACAGATTTCATCCATAACATGCTGAAAGGCCAGCTACTTTTTTTTTTTTGTCTTAACTTGTAACTTCTTATTTAGTCAGAGGCCTTCATAATCAATTTCTTTGGAGATGGCAATGTTATTATCCATTATTCAGCTGTCTGGACATAGTCAGTCTAGGCTTGACAGACTCTTGAGAAGACCAGCCTTACCGTCTGTACAATGCACTGAAGCTGCAGAAAGCGAAGAAATGAATGAACCAAAGCTATTTTCAAATCTTAAGAGTTTGTGTTACTGAAAAGGCAGTGTTAAACTACCAGGTGCTCCACTTTAGTTTCCTCCAAGATCCTTTCATTTCTTTTTCTGGTAAAATAGATACAAATATATTGTCATCACAGTT